AAGAGGGAAACTTTCCTGCATGCACAATCCCAAAATCACACGAGCCTGTGGATAGTCCAGAGCAGTGGTCAGTCAGCTAGCACCCAAAAGCTGACAATGTGAACTAAAGAAAAGAGTGCTTGAATGGAAGTCGGGAGAACTAAGTTTTACCAGTATAACCAGCTCTGGGATTTACTATTCTGTTTCGGGCAAGTTAGTTAACTTCTCTGGACCTCTGTCTTATATTTATTTTGTTTTATTTTGTTTCATGTGGAAAACAAGAGGTAATCAAAAAACGTTTTGTAATTATGGCCAGGAGGCCATCAGACAACATGTAGACCTATCCCCGACTTCACAGATGAGGACAATAAAGCAGAGGAACATGCCCAGGCATTTAAAAGGACAGTTCACTTATGTCAAAATTCTAGACCATGTAAAAAAAGGTACTTATAAGGCAGAAAGGATTAAAATCATCAAGTTTAAGATGATTATCATCTTTTCAGGAAGAGCTTCAGTTGTACTGGTAACATTTCATTTCTCAAATTGAGTTTGGAGTACATGGAGTTATATGTATGATTTTTTTATTTTTTGTTTGAAATAGTTTCTAATCATTTTTTTAAGTAACCACCAAAACATCCTTAACCGAAAGATTTCTCTGAAAATTTAAAGGTCAATGGAAATAGTATGTGGTTTCAAACATTCTCCTGCTGAGTTTGAAAGGTAAATATCACTGTGTCCCCCTAATATAAGAAAAAAAAAAGTGAAATAGGCTATAAATAAATACACACACACACACCACACACCACACACACACACACACAATCTTCCAGCTTAGTAAAATATAAACAGTACATAAGTGGCACAAAACACAAAATAAACTGTATTATTAGTATCATTATTGCCCCTTTAAGGATATTGAGTGAGGCCCTGGCCAGGTCGTTCAGTTGGTTAGAGTGTCGTCCTGATACCCCAAGGTTGTGGGTTCGATCCCGGATCAGGGCACATACAAGGATCAACCAACGAGTGCATAAATAAGTGGGACAATGAGTTGATGTTTCTCTTTTCTCTCTCTCCCACTCAAATCAATAATTTCAAAATGTTAAAAATATATATATTGAGAGAAACAATAATAATTTGTACTCCAAACATGCCTAAGATAAATATATTCAAGAGTCACATCTGAGAGCCTCGTACTCAATCATCAGGTTGTTTGTTTGTTTGTTTGTTTTTACTGAGACAAAAAATAAACTGCAATGATTTACCTAAAGTAAGCAAACACTTTTCCAAACCTCTACACGAAACTACCTGTAAAACTAAGTGTCTCTAAAATCTCTGAAATTTTCCAACAAGAAAGTATAGGTCATTCAGCAAAATATATTTACTGTATACTACCATAATAGCTATTTAATTGTTATCATTATGATGCAGATATATAATGGAAACAGATGTTCCTTTTTCCTTTCAGCAAAGCACAGGAAAAGCTCAAACTTGCTGATACTGCATGGACTACTACCATAGCACAATAAAGGAAAAAAGACATTAGCACATGACAATATTAGTTTTTACTACACAACTAATTGCATAAAAAGTATAACTTCAGATCATTAAATCAATATAATTTTCAGCACTACAGAAGGGAAACAAATAGATTTGTATAACCAGCCTATTTCACATCTGCAGTTGGGAAAATACTTCTGAGAAATTAAGTATATGCAAAATACTACCACTACTTTCAGAACACAAGGAAAAGATTGTTGTTCTGTTTTATTTGCTCATGTAACATGAATTGGAATGCTGCCTCTACAGAGGAATTTTTTTAAACAGTGCCGGTACAGAGTGAAAAAACCTTTCTAGAAAACAATTTGGCAATCAATATTAAAAACCTTAAAATACAGTCTATACCCTCAGTCCAAGTAATTTCTATTCTAATAATATATCATAAGAAAATAACCACAGGGATGATTAAAGATTCATTTAAAATGTTATTCATCATAACTTTATTTATAATGGAAAATTAAAATCTAACTCTCCAGTGGTAGAATGACAATTAATTAAGTTATATATGTTAAAACATTATACAGTTAATATAAATGACTTTAATAATAATTTTAATTATATACAAAAATTTTTATTCTACTACACAAACTGAAAAAAGCAGAATATGAAGTGATGTCTACATATTTTTATAAATATATATAAAAACATATAAGTGTTTGGAGGAAAAAGGCTTAGAGAAAATACATAAAATGTCATTTTTAACTTGTGAAAATTCTCTATTATGAGCAGATACTACTTTTTAATTAGAAAAGTGATTTTTTCTTTAAATAATTAAACAATTCTATTTCTATGCTCTAATACTCTCTGTCCTTGTCCAAAGTTACTGAAGATTCTTTGGGTCAAATAATTCTATAAATATTTTAGGTAAATTGCTTTAAGTTACATTGATATGTTATTTGATCCTAAAATCTGGCATAGAAAGAAAAGTATTTGTCAAGTACATAGACAACACATTTTTTTATCCTGAGTTAAACAGGATCCTCACAAAATAGAGAAAAATTTTATAGGATAAACATTATAAATGTTTACTTAAGAGCTATTAACATAATGTGTTTTCAGTCACCATGTCAAGGAAATTTTTCAATTAAAAATATTTCTAAAGCAAATAGAGTACCCTATTAATTGCTCTCCCAGTTTGCCAATAAAAAGTTTGACACAGCTTTTGTAGGACTCCTAGTTTCATGATTGTATTTTTAAGAGAAGAAGCTGATTTGTCTTAGGCTATTACTGTCTACTACTTCTAGAAGTCTTAAGGAAAGGTGGGAAGCAGCAAATTCTGGCAATCTGCCTAAAGAGAAATCAATGAAACAAATTAATCCTTCGCAGGCTGCAATGACACAGTAATCCATCATTCAGAGCTGCTTTTATATACCAAATCAGAGAGCAGAGGACGGAGCCCTGGGGGACATCACAGACAACAACTTACACCAACACTGGGAAAATACTGAGGAATCAGTTTATTTAAAGAGGATAGATTTCAGTTGATTGCCTATTTTGTCAAAGATTTTTTTCTTTCACAGTGTGGGGAACCCAAGGCCCAATGACTCTATCTTCAGAATTCAGTACCATATATGCTTGCTGACATCAATAGGGATGAATGTTTATAAATAATTAGCATCATTAATCAGTATGAACAAATATCTGGCTAAAGTAATATTACTTTTTCCATTAAACTTCCAGGTGTTAAATACATTCCCAATTTTCAGTAGGGACTAACTGTAAATTTACATAATAATCAACAATTTAACTGACCAATTCCTGGTAAACCACATTTGAGATATTTTTTTACACATAAAATGTAACCATCTAAGATGTGCATAACTTCCTAAGTACTGTGTTAAGTTTAAAGACTTGAAAATTTTAATTTCATCTCTTGTGGAATAAATTTTAATAAGCAAATCAGATTCTAAATCAATAACTTGTTTTAAAACCATAAATAGTACTTTGGCTTGTAATTATAGTTGACAGTGCTGAAAGATAAATTTAAATGTGGTTTCTTTTTTTAAAATAAACTTATAATCAATGTATAGCCATACATTCACACTGAGTATATTTATTTATGCATATACAAAAACATATGCATCTAAATTTATTGGTGCTTATGTAGAAATTTATGCACCTGAGTATGTTTTACTAGAGTAATGCATTCTGAATGGAAGTATATTCCCTAGATGAAAACTAATGAGAAAAACTATAAAGTCAAAGTATATTACCACTGTTAAATACATCATTTTCATGGTTAAATGTGAGGAATTAGTGAAAGAAAGGGATTTTCAAGAAATAAACAAGCAAAACTTGTCACAATGGTCCCAAATATCTAATCATAAACCCAAAACAGAAAAAGAAGGTTAAATAAATGCTAACTAGTCAATTTTTGAATGGCATCTTCGATTCTGAGGCCCATGGCCATATGATTGTAATTCCTGGCTATGCTGATGCATTTTTAATTCAATGCATGGATCTAGTATTTATTGATTTAATAAGGTTAGGGGTATTACATTGTTGCTGCTACTGATGAACTGTCAGCAATTTAATCTAGTGAAATCTTACAGAGGAATATATATATTTTAGAGTTGTGAGAGACACTAAACAGCTATGTAAATGTAATCCCTTCATTACCCAGGACAGTGGCAAAAGCAATGTCCCTTCTTTCCCAGACTGCTTTGGGCTCCAAACATTTTCTAAGAGGTTGGCTACCAATAGACCGAGGTGACACTGAAAGGACTGCAGCACCGTCTTGCAGGTTCTCCTTCAAAACGTTAGCCACAGCATCATTGATGCAGACGGAAAAGAAGGGAGAAAATTCACTTTCTCAAAAGCCATTCTGCCAAAAATACAACCAAAGGAGATAGGCTTTAAAGGCTCTATCCAAGTAAGGAGGTATTATGTGATCCAGAATTTAAAAGGGGGGGGGGGTGCGGGAATCCACCTGAATTTGCTGAAACAAACACTTGGGGACTATTAGAAAGCTTTCTGCGCTGCTGTGCTACCCTGCTTGTGGGCTTATTTCCCCAACCTGGACACCTGGGGAGCATGTTGTGCTCCAGCTTCTCCCTGACTTTGAAGAAATGGATAACCTAAGAAGCGCGCTGTTGCTGGGGTCAGTAAAACTATGCTAATTGCTGAACCTAATTGCTTCAAGCAGTCCTGCCTCTAAACAGGGAGAGCACAGTGGATGGAGTCAGTCTGTTCCTAATAAAATGAAGAAGCACTGAATTAAATTCCCAAGGAAGGCACTATAAAAGTTTCCACAGTGTAACCAAATGACTTCACCTCTGCTATTACCCCTAGGATGACATCTTTGAAAGAAAGCAGACCCCAGTCAGGCTCCATATTCATAAATTGGCTGAGCTTAGGCCAGTGAATCTGGATTGATTTAAAAAGGTTTTTTCATCCTTCCAATCAAATGAAGTCATTGTTAATTAGATGCTTTCTGTTAACAATGTCACTCTTCTCCACATTACCTGCTCACACTTGCAGCGCCTCTAGTGCAACATCTGGAGCACCAGTCCCCCTGCCATCGGTCCTCACGAGTTTGGCGGAGGCTGGTGGTATTTCCGCTGCTCGATCCCTGTCTGAAGGAAGACACGGCTCAGTGTGCTGCTGGTGAGACACATACCAACTTTCCAGTGTGAGAGGCTATGAAACAATCTCTAGGAGAACTCTTCTCCCAAACTCTCTTTAAAGGAACTACACAGCAGTGTCCCTGTGCTGTTCCCGCTTTGTAGATGGATGTTTTAGAAAACGCCTAAGGCCACAGTCAACTCCCACTGACCAAGCTCCTGCTCACACTACACAACCGGGTTAAGGCTGCCCAGCCGCGCCCGGGGCCTGGCCACCGACCCCGTTGGCCTGAGGCAGACTGGCCGCTGGAGGCTGGGCCACTGGGAGCAGCCCTGGGGGCGCTCTGGCAGGAGAGAGGAGGGCGAGCCAAGGGCTCTCCATCCACCCGGTCCCTGAACCTCACCACGTCCGGCAGAGGCTGCCTCACACTCTCTCGGGGCCCATTCCAAAGAAGTTTGCGTGCGCCACCCCCACCCCCACCCCATCGGGCCTGGCCTCCTCCTGGGATCTTCCCGGGAGCAGGCCTGGGACTTGGTCACTGCGGGATGGGGTCTTCAGAGCCAGCCAGGGCACGGCTCCTGCCGTCCGAC